TTCTGCCGCTATCTTGCAGGTTCCGGAGCTGGTCGAGCTGCTCAGCGGCTTTGCGCGGTGCCCAGGTGCTCCGGATCGGGTCTGAAGTTTCAGCGGTTTTTCTTTCACCCAGGTATTGAGGATCAGATTTGCAGTCTTTCTGCAGCCTGGGCTTTACTCACTGAGCTGAGCCGTCCAGCTTTACCTCCAGGTTTAGCGTGGGGCAAAGCGGCTCCTGCAGCCGCGGAACTTCCAGGGGCCCAGGTTTTCCCGGGAGTTCCCAATCGCCGATTCCCTCTCAGTTATCTACCTTCTTGTGAGTCCAGGGTGTTTTCGTTTGGGTTAAAACTTGTAGTAAGTGAGTCTATGGTCCGTTTTCAGTCCTCAATTCCTATGCAGGCTTGGACGCGGTGATCTCGGTGTCTTTACTCTGCCGCCATCTTCTGAACTGAAGACCTGACTAGTGTGTTAGGAAGGGTCAAATGGCATGGAGGTGGTCAGCTGCCCTCTTGAGGGCAGACTAACTGCAAGTGGTTGTTCTGTGCATCCTTTGATCCTTTGATTATGCTCTTGCTGCATGTACTGTTTACATTTGTTTTATTGTACATAGATTTGTAAACATTATTGCTTGAGGTATTGCTTGAGGTATATAACTTGGGCTTTGTAGCTTTTATTTATTCAGAACTCATACAGCATGTTAATGACTTAAGATGGTGACCTACTCTGTGCAGTGGTATAGGATCATCATGTGGTTAAAAAAAAAAGAAAGAAAGAAAAAAGAAAATACTTAACCCTCCCCAAATCTTTTAATGTAGAAACAATAAAATTCACAGGAAAAAAAAAAAAACCTGAAGACTCTATGTGAGAGTTTTAATTCTGAAAATTTTTTCAAAAATACATTTCACAATACAGAAAGCATTGCTGGTGAGTACATACACAATTGTCAGTGTACAACAACATTTTCTCATATTTAGTTGAGGCTCTATTTTCAGAATTAAGTTTTAAAGTGTCATATACTGAAAGAGTGTTTCATGTGTGTAAACTATTCTGTAGGTATAATTTTCAAAGTTGATTTGTGTATCTCTCCTTTGCTATTTCATTTTTATTTTATAACAGTATTATTCTTTCAAAATCTCTGCATGCTAATGCATGAAGACCTAATTAATTTATTTTAATGACTACTGAATGTTCATTTTCAAGGTTTAATTTTTTAAAAAAATTACAAAGTTTTTAATTGAGGTAACATTGGTTATAGTGCTATACATGTTTCAGATGTACAACTTTATATTCAACACCTGTAAGAACTAACTACATTGTAGACACAGCAAGTCTTTTTTCTATCTAGTACAATACATTTGATCGCTTTTACTTCTTTTTCCTATCTTCCTGAGTACTATTTACCTTCTGACAAGTACTATTCTGTTACCAAAATATAAGAATGTCTTGTTTGTTCCTTTGCTTTGTTTCTATGTCTTCCACATGAGAGAAATCACACCATATTTATCTTTGTCTATCTGATGTACTTCACTTAGTATAATACTCTCAAGGCCCGTTCATGTTATTGCAAGTAGTTAAATTTCATCTACCTTTTTATAGCTGAATAGTATTCTATTGTGTTTATTTGCCATGTCGCCTTTATTGGTTCATCCTTCATTGTGTAACTAGCTTGTTTTTCATATCTGGGCTATTGCAAATAATATTGTAGTAAATTGGTAGCACATAGCTTTTCAAATTAGTAGTTTTGTATTTTTCAGATAAATACCCAGTAGTGCAAAGGCTGGCTATTCCAATTTACATTCTCACCAAAAGCATTTCAGAGTTTCCTTTTTAGCAAGCCAACACGTACTGTTTACAACTTTGGTATATGTCATTCTCACAGGTGAAATGCTATCTCATCATGGTTTTGATTATCCTTCATGATTGATAAATGATGATGAATATTTTTCATATAACTGGCTATCTGGGGGGAAGTATATACTCAGTTCCTCTGCCCATTTTTAAAGTCTGGTTCTTTGTATTTTGTTAAGTTCTATGAAGACTTTGTTTATTAGCATATTATAAGATATGTTGGAGTTATGACTACTTTCTCTATTCAGTAGATTGCTTTTATTGCTTTCATATTGTTACTGTTTATCTCTGTTTCTTATTAGTATGTGTAGTTCATTGTATTTTCTTGGTATTAATATTTTAATTGCTATAAATTACAGTTTTTGAGGGAAATAACATAAATCCATTTGCCATATTAAAAACTGAAATATGCCTTTATAAAGGCATTTTCATTCTAAGCTAATTGAGTTCCATTAACTGTTCTGATCAGACAGGTTGACAAGTTGGAAGAAAATAAACCTCTGGCATTTCCTGGGTACATGGCCACAGGAGAAAGAAAAAAAATGTCCTATTTACTCAATGTGGATATTCTGGTATTTGCAATCTAAGGGACTCTACCCACCTACTGTTCTGAGCAGAAAATTCCTGGATAAAGAATTACTTATACTAAAGAGGTATGCCTCTTTGGATATGGTCACATTATTTGTAGAATACTCTAAGTTATAATGTGTCTTTTAGCAGTTTAATGCTCCATTTCTGTGAGATACCCCACAAAATCTCTTTTGGGAGCTTCATGTATTTTTTGAGGTCAGAGAGACATGTCTGAAAATTAGGACCTGAGAAGCCTTGGAGGAAGTCTCACATCTCTTTCTAAGGCATCTGTGTCCTTTGCTAAAAATTTTAAAGAACAGACAAATCAAAGTTAACACTGAACAGAATTCTCTGATTCATGAGACTCAGTTTGATACAGTTTGACATCCCAGGCAAGCTGGTTTATAGGTGTTGGCAGTTATCTTGCTAAGGCCAAACTTGGATCCCTACATAGCCTCTTTATTATCTACTTACTTCTTTGTTTTTAGATTTTCTGTCAATCTGACTTTGCCACATCATTAAAACTGACTTTCTGCTGATGTCAATTTCTTTATAAAGTGATGCCTCTTCTACATTTTTGTCCTTCAAGGGTACTAGTTACTTCTACTCTACTACCTTAACTTCATTTTAGTGATGGTCCTGAAAATAAATTACATTTTATCTATGAAAACAGGATTTAGTTTATGAAAGAGGTTTAAGATCTTATTTACTTTTAATGAGGCTAAGATAGCTCATTTCTTGATCTTGCAACTCCTACAAACAGCACCAGGCATTTTAGAGCTTTACTCTTTTTTAATTAGTAAATATACCTGATTTCTTTATCAAATGGAGTTTTAGTTTCTTTAGCCAGTAAAAATTACCTTTAAAAAATATCTGATAAAGCATTAAAGAGAACATACCATTTAGTAGTCACTTATGAAAATGAAAAATTGCTGAGCAGATGATTTATCATGTCAAACACTGAATTCAGTTAGATTATATAACAATTCTAAATATATCATTAAATGTTAAGAACTTAGGTATAAGTATTTGGTGACATTCTATTTAAAATTATGTACATATATATTTTTTATTTTTCCTCTTTGCCAAAATATCTACCTGCCTCTGACTTCCTTAAATTGTTTAATTTTACCATAGAGTTAACAAGAATATCAAATGAACTGATAAAATGAACAAGTCAGTGTCAACACTGAAACATGGACATAACTTCTGTTCCTTAGACAAAATGTATGACAGATTAAAGGGCTTACAGCCAGGGTTTTCAACCTTGGATGCACAATGGAATCACCCAGAGAGCTTTACCAATACCAATAGATGCATCTTAACCTTAGGTACCTCATTAATTGGATAAGTATATGGCTTGACAATGGGATATTTAAGTTAGCCATAGATTCTCATTAGCAATTAGGACTAGGACTCACAGGTTAGAGGCCATTTTCAATTTTGCATTTTCTTGGGTTCACTTTCTCTCAATTTTCTTGGGTTCACTTTCTCTCACTACTTTGCTTTAAAAACATGCCTGCCTGAAGTGATTAAGGTCATTCAACCAAGCATTTCTTTGTTGTCACTAGTGGTACCTTTGGCACCTATATACAAGTGAGAATGATGAGGTAGTTCCATTTTGAAACTTTTTTTTAAAAGTTATCTCTTATTTCAGTAGCCGGTAACATATTCCTATACATTAGAAATAAGGTAACAAAAATATAAGCCTGGTAAGAAGAAAGGGAAGGAAATAGGGAAAGAAAAGCTTATAGCTATATATTAACTATACATGAGTTACAATTTCAAATTTATATATACCTGAATGAAGGTGGTCAGATCATCAGCAAAACTATTTACTTCTGATAGAAGTAGAGATATTATGGATTTTCTCAACAAGCTGCAACTTCCCAGAGTTACCAGATTCTGAGAGACACAATGCTGCACCTGAAACTAAAAACATAAAGATGAACAGGTTTAGAATAAGTCAGGTCAAACTTTATTTAGTTGGCATTTTCACTAGCTCCATGCAGTGAGGCGTGGAAAAAGTGTCATACAATTCTGGGTGGGCCTGAATCAAAACTGTGAATAGGCAAGTCACAATAGAGAAATTAAAATAATAGTGTTAATTTAGATTTTCTGTATTTTGAAACGTATGACAACATGCCACGATAAATGCATTAGCTAAAGTATCAAAAGATAATGTATTTAGATGACAGACCACATGCCTGCCAAATAAAAGACGATATTTATCTACATGTATCTATTAAATAAAGATAAGGTGTGGATGTAGCTGTAGATATAGGTACAGATAAACGGATGAGAGGAATAAGTCTGAAGCATCTTTTAGGATAGCTGTTGGTACACTGGTGAGGGATAGGTGGGAGCCGGTTCTCAATAACCACGCTCAAAGAGAAAAAAAATGCTGTTTTCTACTATGGCTATACCAATTTACATTCTTACCAAAAGCATTTCAGAGTTTCCTTTTCAGCAAGCCAACATGTACTGTTTACAACTTTGGTATATGTCATTCTCACAGGTGAGATGCTATCTCATAATGGTTAAAGAAAAAAATGTGGGACTCTAAATTTTCATCTAGCGGAAGCAAAGCTGTTCATCATTTGATAAATTTAAAATACCATGTGAGACAATAAACTACCTCCTATAGTTACTAGAAGAAAGACCATTTGATTGTTAAACACAAAGGTATATAACTCCAGCTGGAATTTCATTAAATCTATCCTTGAATATACCTGGAAGAAAGGAGCATCACGACACAAGACATTATATGAGCTTACCATCACTGCTTTCATATAGCGTGTCTAAATGACAATGCTAAATAAATAATGCCATATGAAATTAGGGAGTGTCAGCTTAGTCCTTTAGAATTAGCAAATGCAAGTATTTCTTAAGTTGACATTATATTAATATATATTAATTTTAAAAGCTAATCAATGATAGAAAGTGAATGGATGAGATTTCAAAAGAAATTTCAATTTTAAAATGTGTGCATGTATATTGAAATTATAATTTCTCTAAATCAATTTATCAACTTAATACTAAAATTACATCAATGTGTTACCATAGGAAATCATAGGTATTTTTCATGGGTATTGTTTAGCCATGTAATTGGCTAAGACTCTTTAATACCATTTATTACATTTGAAGTATTTACATTTTAATTACATTTTTAATCTTTATCTCATATCCTTGTTAATTTTTTGACAGTATACGTGTGGTCATCATAGTTCTCCCACCATCAAAGAACCCCTACGTCCTCCATAGATCACTGTGCTCTCCCCACCCTGTTTTCACTCTCCCCTCCTCCTTCCCCTACTGTAGACCTCAGATCTATGTTTGTAGCTGAAATAAAGTGTATTGTCTTTAAAACTGAGGTAACATTGGTTTACAATGTTGTGGTTTAGAGGTACAGAATCTTCCCTCCTCAGGTGTTATCATTTCATCCCTCCACCAAACATCTCGTCTCCACCACAATCACTAATGGTCCCCATTTTATATTGTCTTCCTTTCCCCAACCTCTTCTGGTAGCCTCAATTCTGCATTCAGATTTCTAAGGTTATTGCTTTGATTTTATTTGATCTTTGTTTTGTTGCTCCATATTCCACATATAAGTGACAACATGCAGTATTTGTCTTTTTCCTTCTGAATTATTTTGCTTGGCATAATCCTCTGAGTTCCAACCATGTGGTCACAAATGGCATGAGTTTCTCTTTTCTTATAGCTGAATAATATTCCATTGTATAATATATACATCATCTTTATATGTTCATCTGTCCTTAGCTGTTGTGAATAGTGCTGCAATGAATATAGGAGTACAGAGATCCCTTTCAATCAGTGCTTTGCATTCTTCAGGGAGATACATAGGAGTGGAATTGCTGAGTAATAAGGTAGATACATTTTTAAAATTTTGAGAATTGTCTGTACTGCTTTCCATAGAGTATTATAATATAGGAATATTATTTAAGTTCTCACAATCAGAAGTACTCACTCAAGACCTTGATTTAGAAGTTCATTATGGAAGAAAAGCAGGGCACATAACATTCATTTTGCTGTTCCTATTGTGGAGGACCATTGGCAAACTTGATGGCTGGGTGTCTTAAGGAGTCATTCCTATAAACTCAGCCTTCCCAAATCATTTGATCCAATGTAGTCACAGAACTCTTACATTAAAGTCTTGAGATATGCAGGAGTAGAAATTCCTACCACATGTTCAATAAATCCTCCTCTTTGAGCTAATCAAAGTTATAATGAATTACCATATGCTTAATAGGTGATTCTAATTACACAGTTATTGTTTCAGGAGTAATTCCTTTAGTACAGCATCATCAATGGCCCTGATACTTCTTAGGCAGATTTTTATTTGGGACTTTAATCTTTTATTGTCTTAGTAAGGATAAAATGAAATCATTTCCATTCACCCAGGAGACAGTGTTATACATTTTCTGTCCTATCAATGGCTGTCAACTTGCTGACTCTTGTTTCATTCTTTAATTCATAGAATTCTGATCAAAACATTCCATAGAACATCATGCTGTGTATAGTTCTATGATATAAAACTTATATGGCAGGTATGTGGAATGGCCTGCAAAATACATGCATTTCTAAGAATAAATACCAGAATTTGGGTTCCAGATACACTTGGGTTCACGTCCTCCAAACTGAACAGTAAGTTGCCTTGTATGTATTTCCTGCCACTAACTAAAAGATAGAGTTTGATGGGCCTTTGTGGATATTTGAGGCAACATATATCCATCTGCATTATCATTCAGATATATACACAGTCAATCATAGGACTAGAAAATCTCTAGAAAATCTCTAGAAAAACCCAGTGTAGCAAAGGTTTCTAGCTAGCTATCATAGGGAACAAGAAACTCAGCCACTTAGAACACATAATTAATAAGGTCCTATGTATATAACTTCTTTCATGTAGAATAATTATATTTTCAAAACTCATTTTTTTGAATATATCAGCACTTCATTCCTTTCTGTCACTGAAAAAGTAGCTCATTGTATAGATTTATCAGTTTTGTTCATCCATTCTTTACTAGATGGACACTGGGTTACTTCTACTTTCTGGCTATTAGGAATAATGATGCTATGAATGTTCAGGTTCAAGTTTTTGGTAAACATTTTCAATTATTTTGGATATGTACACACACATATAACCACTAAGAAACAAGATAATTCTACCTTTAACTTCTTGAAAAACTGCCAAACTGTTACCTAAATTTTTTACTATTGGAGGAATGGTCTTCAATATGAATGTAATATATAATATAGCTAAAATATAAAGCATAATTATGGGTTAAAATTCAATAGAGTATTTAAATTCAAGTTTGCAAGATTTTGTTCTAAAGTTTGTAGGGTATGTGTAGACATGACTGCTAACACACTCACATAATCACTGAGAAGTCATATAAAAGTCACTAAAGGAACAGAAATAGATAAATGATACAGGAATTTTTAAAACCATGAAAGTAGACGTCTCAGTATATAGACTACGTAGGGCAATTCTAGGACATTTTTCTATACAGAAAATTTGTGAGAACTAAGGACATTAGAGTCCACTAGGAAAGTATATTAATGAAAAAGTGTAAAGCCACACATTAGCCTTTATTGCTGTTCTATACTGATCGGGTTGTTATCCTCAATGAAAAGAAGTCACAGGCATAGAATGTGTTCATTTGAACAACACCTATCAGCAAGCCTTTAGGTTTTCTTTTAGCTATAATAGGCCACAGGAGTTTCATTCTGGATAAATAAAATGACACCAAGTCGGTATGGATTGTAACTGTAGGGCTTCCTCTAATCAAATGTCATAGTAGTGCTAACATCACATTTTCATGAATTAATTTAAACAAAATCTTATGAAACAAAATCTAAACACTGCAGTGCTAAGTATTTATTTAGACTGTCAGAAAGGGCAATATCAATAAGAATCTAAAAGTCCCCCCCAAAAAAAAATTACCATTGGTACCTTCATAAAGGTCCACATACTTCCTAGATTTGACATGGGACAACCAGTGATTTGTTACTTCAGAAATGAATTGCTCAAATCAACATGACTCTACTAGATAAACAGGAAAGCTCTGGGATCCTATATAACAGGATTTCAAATGGCCATGTACCTACATGCCAAGTGGATTATTTTCATTTATGACTATCTTCTCAAAGGCAACATATTAATGAAACAAAATTTCATGTTATTATCATTGGGGACGATGTGACATTTGAATGAAAGTCAAAAGTAAATAAAAAATGGCATTTTATGTATTCAAAATGATGTGGGGGTTTGTAGAAATCATGTCCTCATTTAATCAAAACAGTTTGAAATCTTGAGTCACTACCATTTGTAGTGCATGCTAATATCAGATACACTGAATCACACTTCACAAGAGAATACAAAATAAAAGGCAAGTGCTCACACGTTCACAACTGAATACTGTGAGATAAACTGAAAAAACAGCTTGAGATCAAAGGCTTAATAATTATCACTGAATTACTGAGAGTGCTAGAGACTGGATATATGGAAGAACTGCCTATGGATAAACATTAGAATGCTCAATCATTCCCTCTATTACTATGATACTTACTCAGATAGTTCTAAAATGAAGGAAACCAACTGAAAATGTCCATTGGAACAGCCATTTTTTTTCTGCTTAAGGATTTAGGCAAAAGAGTTGGGATACCATCTCAACACTTAGGATGATAACACCCATTTTTAAATGTGAAACATTTGAGGTTCAGAAATGTTAAGGTCACATGGTGAGTGACAAAGTCTAATACTACATTCAAAATTTTTTCTTAACTTGAATGTCTATTATCTCTTGTCAGTATAATGCAAAATAAAAACAGAAAATAAGTATACTATTATAAAATGCTTTTATTTTGCATTATATACAGTGCTTACTGTTTATATACTATCTCACTTA